TTGGATTCTTAATTCTAGACACATCTGGGAACCCTACTCGGCTCAGCTGATACAATGTGCTCCCGAGCATCCTGGTGAATTGCTTGGCATACTCCTCGGCACTCCTCAAGCGTTCCTGAAGGTGAGGGATCCTGGGATGCTGGATGGCTCCTAACTTGGCATACTTGTCAGCCAGGGCGTTGCCAGGGAACCATCGTGCAGGATACCCTTTATTTCCGAGCCACGTCCGAGTCTTGTGCGACGGCATCCAGACAACATTGACGTTTTGTCTCCCTATGTCCTCGAGCTTCCAGAAAATCAACTTCCAAACTTCAAAATATGGTTGTGTAGGTTCGCACATCATTTCTGGCTCAGGCCCTGGACGAGGTTGGCATGAACAGTAATAATAGTGGACTCCGCGCCAATGAGGCATCAACACGTGTACAGAGCATAGTGTTCGGCCAACCCTGCAGACTGGACGGGTCCAGGAACAGGCCCCTATGCAACCGACGAAGCTTCCTCACTGGGCCCAGGAGCAAGGGACACTGCGGCCCATCCTGATCGCGTACGCCACTCAACCGCGGGGTCGAGACCAGAACCATCGATGAAGATTTCGCTCCCGAGGTGTCCAGAGGGTCCAGGTCTCCAAGCATACCCTGCTTCTGGGCCCTCAAGAGGGGGTGGAAGTTCATCTCTTCTGCTAGCAGTCACCCCATACCCCACGAGCGTACAATCTACAGCGCCGTGGCAGATTGAGTGCAAATCCCACAAATCTTGATCTCGCCGCCATGCAGCAAGTCCGTCACAAACATGCAGCCTGTGTCCTATCGTCTCTGGCGCCTGCTGGCACCAAAGGCATGTTGGATCCATCTTGCATCTTTCCAGGAACAACTTCGACTGCGTCCAGAGGCCTCCAACACAATGAGCGATGACGAGATCTGCCTGGATGTTATCACCTTTGCCTCTCATCCTCCGCAACTCGAACAGGTTCGTAGTACGGGGCGTTGTTCCAACCGGAATATTAGTAGCTTGTAACTCTTGATTACGTCTAACCGTACGGTGAACCAGTGCCTTGAGCGTGCGGGTCGCCGTATTGGTGAGGCCCACTCTTAGGCCCTTAGGGTCCCTCCAGTGTGCGTAGTCATCCACAGTCCATCCTAGTCTCCTGAGCGTCTGAACGACAGCGCCTGCTGGTCCCGTGACCATAGCCCATCCAAGACGAGCTGCTGCAACAGCCGCTTTAAAAATGGTCTGCATGCTGCTATTTGCGATCCACTGCAGGTGCAACGCCACCAGCCAGGTGATGAGCGGGAGGGTGTCAACGAGGTAGGCGGGGTCAAGGTCGGGGGGGCGGGGGGGGGGCGTCGGTGAGAAGGTATTGAACAGCCCGAGATCTCTCTTTAGCTTTCCCAGAGAGTGCATATCCAGTTACAGCTCTGAGATCCTGGAGCCCCGAACCTTTCATCCCCAATGCCCTGGCCCCGTAGGTGGCCGCCGCGATGCCGCCGCCCCGAAAGATCCTGGTGAGCACTTTCTTGTGGTGCTCCAGGGATCTAGACCGATGGGCCCGCCTCGTAACTCCAATGGTACGCTTCCTAAGTACAGGTTTCTTCCCCCGCACCTGACTGCCGAAGTCGTGGCCCAAGTTCTTGACAGAGTCATGGGCCGTGAAACTATACTTGGCTAACTTCCTCTGAAGGTTGCTGGCAAGCTGGCGGCAGGAGGCGACGATCTGGCACTTCTTCCGTGAGATCACCATTCCTATGGCCTCCAGCCTGGAACAGATCTGAGGTATTGCTGCTGAGACTGTGCATTCAACATATCTCATGGACCCCATGGCTTCGAGCGTGATACGTATCATCAACCATGACATGTAACCCAAGAGAGGCCCAAACACTACGCATGTATTCCAACGAATCTTGGAGCACAACTCTCCGCAGCGTGGTCGCAAATGTGCGTCCCGCTATGATGGAACTCGTGATGCGGATCGAGTTTGAAACAACTTCCTTAATAATGATGCGCCGTGGCTTACCATCTACTTTGAGCAGCAGTCTGATGCGGCGACGACAAACATATGCTTGACGCACGCTTGCCACATACCAGCATGGGGAATATTCTCATATCATTTCCCCACGTCAATTAAACGCCGATGCTGATGATGCTCACATTGATTGCGCTGCTTCACCAACTGCTGCTTGTTGCCGTACTGCTCGCGCACAACTGTTCCCTTTCCTCCCATATATACAATCTAGACGGCGATCTGCCTCCCATTGGTTAGATTCTTGCCACCTAATCTTGCCTACTCGGATAGCCGTTGCAAGAATACCCATAGGACGGTATCCACCATCTGGCTTCCTCAGGAAAGCTAACAGGGCACGCTCGCACTGCTCTGGGATCAAGGGGCGCGACTCTGTGCGCGAGAGAAGCTCGCCGTATGCTGCGAGCGCGTCGGTCAAGTGTTTGAGCGAGGCTGGGCTCCGCCCGTCAATGCCAACTGCGGGATTCTTCTTGAACCTCTGAAGGCTCATCTAAGTTGGTCCATTGTGGGCGCTGGAGGGGGCCCTCCAAGCAGAAGGCCTAGATGTTCTGCATTGGGACGAGATGGCCCCCCTTCGCGCCAAATGCTTTTCCACTCTTCTAGCAGCGGTTCTATCATATCCACTTTCCCAGCAGGTGCCCCTTGGAGCCCATTAGGATCTGGGGCCCAGCCTACTGGTTCTTGAATATATTTATATACAGCACCACCACATGTCTCTATTGAATCAGATGCCCACAGCCTCCAAACCTTGGTTCTGGCCTTCGCGGAACATGACTCGATAACTGCGGCGAACTTTTGGACTTGGCGCCCGAGAACTTCCAGGTCGTCGAGCTCCACTCCGACTCCTAGGACGACCTGAGAGTGGAAATCCTGCCACCCTGGAACGACGGCAAGGTGAGGCTGAGCATTGCATATCTTACTGACGATGTCCTGGGCCCCTCTGGAGTCCCACATGTGCCCCTTCCTCCTCAGAAACCTCAGTTCCTCCACCCAGGCGGCCAGCTTGCGGAGGGCTCTGGAGGCCTCGGTGCACCTGGGGCACGGGCCCTGGACGTACTCCAAATCAGGCTGCGAAGCAATGCGGTACCCGGCGCCTCTGCCGAAGTGCGGGGCACGGTCTGTTTCCTTGATGCCTAGCACGTCGCATAGCTCGAGCTTCGCATATTTGGATCTAAAACGTTGAACTCAGTGATCGTCGGCCTCGAGTCGAGCTCGTGAAGCATATCTACAGTCACTGTCTTCCTCGGCGGTGGTCGGGGTCCAAGCTCAGCGGGCAACTCGGTTGGGTAGGGCTTCGGGAGCTTGAGAATTTGCTTAAACGCTCCACTGGGTAGTGAGTTTTGTTCTCCGGGTCTTCAATCCGCTTACAGCTCTGGACCGACCCCCGGAGGTCGTGAAAAACGACGAAGAAGTCCAGCTCACTCCAAATTTTCCCGACACGGCAAGTGGGTTTATTGCCATAGCCATAGACAACCACTCCCCTCATCTTCCCCAGGATTGGAAAATTCTGGATTTCCTTCGGAGTTGCATTGATATCTGCTGCAATGACGAAGGGCTTCTGATACGCAAACAAGAATTCACCATCTGGGAAATACATGCTAATGAGGTAGAATCCACCTCGAACGCAGCCATTGACCCAAACAATCGAGCTGCGCGCATGAATCTATGTCTGTGGTGCTCGACTGCTTCGCCTACACCAACGTGGTGTTTGACAGTGATGCCCACGCCTGCGGACGTACCATCCTGCGGGGTCCGATAGGCACCTGACAATCGTAACTTCCATCCTTCACTCGACATCATTGACTCCTTCTGCGCAGCTCCTGCTTTCAAAACTCTGCGTTCCTGCAGACATACTGCGTGGGCGCTGCGTATGTAGTCGTCAGTCAACAGATGCCTCGCTCCACTCCAGCCTGAAGCGTTTCCGGTGACAATTCTCCATGGAGCTGATGGGCTTGTAGGGGTATTCGACGGCTGCTGCTGGCCGTCTCCCGACTGAACGACGGGTGGGCCAGGAGCCGGGCGCTTCCGCCCCTCCTGTGGCCGCGTTGCCCCTGCCCCCGCCCTTGGAGAGGAGGTCTTCTGCTGCCCTCTGTCGCGAGGTTGAGCCACGCTGGCCCTTGCCTGCACCAGCAGCCGCGTCCCCTGCCGATGCCGTCGGTGGCGTGGAGCTCGCCTCCGCCGCTGGAGCCTGCCCCTTCCAGTCAGGTCGTGGCGCCTCCCAGCCGCGCCTTCGCCATCCCCGTCGGTCTTGCGCTGCTTCCCCGCCGGCCGTGCCTGGAGCGCTTCGCGTTCTTTCCGGCATTCTTCTGCTTTCGACCTGGGGCTGCCCAAGAGCTGCTGGGCGATGTTGCCGAACTGCGTCCTGAGCTGGGCCTCTCGGTCTCGGGCCTCCTGGAGGTCTGGCTCGGAAATGTCGACATACACCTCAGGCGATGCTTACGAAAACTTATTTTTTCGGCCAGAGTCTCGATTATTCTTAGTAGTGTTTCAATGTAAATCCTAAGATTTGAATGGAAATTTTGGATTTTTATTCAAGTTCTGAGACTATGAATTTCTTAACCCATGATTTCTTAAGCATTTCGCAGGGTGTACTCACTGAGGCCGAAGAGTCCTTCACCGCAGGAGATCTCCCAGCAGTCCTTGCTGCTGAGAGTGTCCTCGGGGCGCAAACAAGACGGGCTCGGGCGGCTCCTGCGGCTTGGCCACTTTGCCCGTGCAGCTCGGTGGTGGCCTCCTTGGGAAATATCCTCTTGCTTGCCCAGGCTACCGAGGGCATCCTGGACGACCTTGCCCTGCTCCTCGACCTGCTCGTGCAGAGCCTCCGGCTCCGCGGTGTGCTTGAGCAAATCCACTTCCAGGTTCCGGAGGAGACGGTGGCCCTGGTCCGCTCGGACCTGCGGGGTCGCCTCCGACCTGTCCCTTGATGACCAGGGCATGCTGACAGTACTGCGCCACCTCGGTGCTCTTCGACTTCTCGGTGAGTCGAACGAGCTGCTTGACTTCGGTGATATCCAGTTCTGGTACGGGATCTTCTCCTCCTTGAAAGCCGACGGCGAGCGGTGCCACCACAGGAGCACCTGGAGGAGTATCAGGTGCATGAACGTAATCTTTGTCCTTACCCTTGCCTTTCTTGTGAGCTTTCCCCGTCCACTAGTGCTTCCCGCAATGCTTGCAGTGGGCGACCGAGTACAGGGACTTGTTGCAACCACGATACTGGCAGCGCCAGGTGGGCTCATATCAACTCCATAGCGCATGAAAGCTGGGTGCCATACTATGGATAGGGTAGGGTCTTCGCGGGAGGCCTCCTCACCCCGGGCAGGGTTGCTGGTCGAGGAATTGGCCGAGGTTCCTCAATCGCTCGGGCCCCAACCCCAGGGGAGGCAAAACCCCAGGCAGTGGCCTTAAGCCAAAACGGCTACGGATCTCCTCCTCATCCTGTGGTGGCCGTCTTAGTCAAGCGAAGCCCCGCGTAGTGGCGCCCCACACCGCATCTCCATATACCTCTCGTCCTCGTCCTCCTCTCTTCCCCGAATCTGTCCAGAGAGTCTCCCGTCCTCTCCGCGTATTGTTTGTAGACACAGGATTTCATTATTTGTTTTTCCCTATGTGTTTTCTTCAATATGGTCGCTTCTGGTTGTTCCATGTTTGTAGACACTGGATTTCATGATTTGTTGTTTCCTATGTTTTTTCTTCAATATGGTCGCGTCAGGTTGTTCCAAAATGGCTCTCCCGCTGCAGCGCCGCCCTGATTTCCGTGCTTCTGTCATTCAAAATCGTGCTCCCGCTGCAGCGCTGGCCTAGTTTCCGCGCCTCCGGACGGCACTTGGCATTCGAAAGCGCCCATATCGGGCAGGCACGGTTTCGGAGGACATGGAGCCGGCCTTCCAGGCAGGCCTTGCCCTCTCGTAGACGGGCCACTTACCCTTCAAGTCATCCAGTGCCACTCCACGGCTTGCAATGCGATGCTGTGTTGTGCACCGCTGTGCGATGCCATGGTTTTCGTTGCTATGCCTTGTAGCGCAGTGCTTCACCACGCAATGCCACGCCATGCTATGACATGCTGTGCTATGCCGTGCTCTTCTGCGCCATGCTTTTCCATCCATCGCGTACCCTCTTGGGATCATTGCCCTGCTCGACATACGACTGTGCGAGTAGATAGGAGATCTACGCCATGGTAAAGGATGGGAGGCAGGGGTAGTACGGTAGGACGTCAGACGTGACGCTAGCGTACCTAGCTTATCCCCCTCCTCCTCCTCCTCCTCCTCCTCCTCCTCCTCCTATTCCTCCTCCTCCTCCTCCTCTTCCTCCTACCTCCTCGTTCTCCTCCTCCTCCTCCCTTCTCGTTCTTCTCCTCCTCCTCTTCTTCTTCTTCGTCTTCTTCTTATTCCTCCTCTTCCGACGACGACGACGACGACGACGACGACGACGACGACGACGACGACGGCGGCGGCGGCGGCGGCGGCGGCGGCGGCGACGACGACGACGACGACGACGACCGCGCGAGGCACTCCGCGCCGCGCCCTCGGAGGGCGTGCCCGGGGCGGAGCGGCCACAGGCGCGGAGGGCGGATAGGGGCCGCTGCGGTCTACTTCAGCCGCCTTCCTGCTTCAAGAGTCGGGTGGTTTTTGTTCCAGAGAAAATGCCTAATGTATCTGTACGCTGATCGGTATGTGAGTGAGAACAACCGTGCTGTTGGGATGGCATCCCCAACCGCAGCCAGCGTGCAGTGCTTGCGCACGCCGCGGCAGGACGCTGCCTGGCATCTCCAGCTCGAAGCGCGAAAAAAAAGAGTCGAGTGGCTTTTCCTCTTCCCTCGGCGTCACCCAAACAAACTTATGCTATATATGATCCCGGGCTCCGGGCCCACGGGCCCCCCCCCCTCCCCCCCAGATGGTATGGTCCCAGGATTCCTCGGGCCCCCCCCCCAGATGGTATGGTCCCAGAGACGACCACGACGACGACGACGACGACGACGACGACGACGACGACGACGACGGCGACGGCGGCGACGACGGCGACGGCGACGGCGACGGCGACGGCGACGGCGACGGCGACGGCGACGGCGACGGCGACGGCGACGGCGGCGGCGGTGGCGACTACGACGGCGGCGACGAGGACGACGAGGACGACGAGGGCGACGACGACGACGACGACCTCTGAACCACCACAGCACCACACCACATCCACAGGGGGTGGCGAGGGGCACCGCAGCGCAGCACCACGCCACGCCCACAGGGGTGGGCGGGGGGGAGGGACCATCGCGCGGGGGGGGGGGGGGGGCCCAATGGCATCAGCATTGGGGGGGGGCCCCAAGCCCTGGACCATATATGTGCGTCGCCCCCCCCCCCCCCCCGGGGCGACGCGCGCACCGAGAAATCTCATGGTGTATGCCCCGTGGCGGGCCCCTTCTAACCACACCGCTCGGGAAACGATCTACTACAAGATGGGTCTACTATATGTTCGGGTCGGACGCGCGCCTCCGAGGAGGACATCTAGTATTATAATATCTCTGTGCGTCCCATTCCCTCCTCTTCAGGAGGCGGGCGGGAACCCAACCTACTTCCAACGCCTTCCTACTTCATGGTTCTACATACTTCTTGCGACCGATGGGTAGGGGCGAATAGCCAAGGGGCGTGCCCCAGAGGTCGAAGACGAAAAAAGCGCATACACGTAAATTTTTGGCGCTCCGCGCGGACTTCTTGGATCCGCGCTTTGGCCCCCCGCGGCGGCTCCGTGCGCCAGTGAGGGGGTCCAGCGCGGATCCTAGAAATCCGCGCGGTGCGCCAGCAGTTTACAGTCGGGGCGCTGAAGAAGGAACCCTGTTCGTTGGGAAGGGGCTCGGTGCTCCTTGATTGTTTTACAGTTTGCCCTGGGTTTTCCTTAGGTTTTCAGTGGTAAGTCGAAGGTTAACTTATGAAAAAGGGGCCTCGTTCCTTATTTAGGGTTCCTTAGGTCAACGCCCCGACTGTATATATATATATATATATATATATATATAAAAAAAAATAAGCCGTGCTTTCTTCCTCTACGAGGGGCGGGCCCCAGGGAGCCGACGCTCCCCCCCCAACAAAAACTGGAGCCGCGAGGTTTGGGGCAGTTCTTTCGGCCTCCGGGGGCCCTCGCTGGGCCTCGGGAGCGTCAACCACCACCCACCAAAGCACCCCAACCCAACCCGAAGGCTCAGATTTACCCTCGATTTCTAGTGGGAGGGGGGTCGGGAAGCATCGAAAAAACACGCGTGGAACCCTTACCCCCCCCCCAATCCGAAATTCGGGTCCTCGGGTTGGGTTGGGGTGGTCTGGTAGGTAGTCAATCAGAGAACGACTCGGGACGAAACGCTGGCCCCTGGGGAAGGGGTCGAGACTCCGGGGCCCAGGCATCGAGAGGATGGGGGCGGCTGGGATGTCTGGGGCATCACACGCATTCGCCTGGGCTTGGCATCGCTCGGACGTGTGCCTTTTTCCTTCGGCGAGGACCATCGAGGAGCGCCCTTGGATCATTTGGCGACAAAGCCACGAACGAAACCGAACGAAGCACAGGGAATGGACGTCCGAGCGATGGCCAGTGGGAGCCCCGCCGAAGGCATGGGCCATCGGCGTCCGCGAATACACGCACAGTCAGCCCGCAGAGCAAGGATGCGCAATTTTCCAAGTTGCATCTTTGCCCTTCGGCCCATCCGTGGCCGCTTTCGCTGGTTGCCGGTCGCCTGGGGGAGGGGGTGTTTGGTAATAGGGAGCAGCGATCGATAGACCCCTCCCTGAGGGGGAGAGAAGACACAACTCGTTAAACCATCTACGCCAGGGCTGGTAGGACAATGATTTCGGTTTCTTCAGGCCCTACTGGGCGTCCTCTTGTGGCCGTCTTTGGGCGTCCTGTTGTGGCCCTCTTGGGCCATCTTGGGGGCTCTTGGGCCGTCTTGAGGCCATGAAGTGCAGTCTTGGGGCCATCGTGGTCTCGGAGGCATCCTCGGGCATGTTGGCAGCCTCGATGGCCTGCCTCAGCCGGAAGGGGAGGGGGGCGGGGTAAGGGGGTTGGGGGGCGATGCATGCGGCTGGGCGCTGCCCCCCGGTTGGTGGGAGGGCGTCCCTTTGAAGATTCTATGATTGCTGCGACTGGAGCGACGACCACGGCCACTGTGGCGGCGACCCCGACGTTCACAGCAGGGTGCCTAGAGGTTGCCACAAATATCAGCATCGGCGTTTGCCTCCACCCGGGGATGATGATCCCGATCTCTCGGTGATGGAAATACTCCGGCTTCTGAGGAGGCCTAGAGTCTAGAGGTTACGTACCACCAGCACCAGCTTCCAAGCCCCCAGCACAACGACGACCAGCACAAGGCGGCGGCGGCGGCGACGGTGGCAGGCGCGACGATGACTCCGACAACGGGAGCGCCGCGCCCCAACTCCTTCTCACTTCCTCCCTCTCCTTCCTGGGGCCCTGCCTCCTCCTCCTCCTCCTCCTTCTCTTCCTGATCCTCTTCCTCTTCCTCCTCCTCCTCCTCCCCCTCCTCCTCCTCCTCCTCCTCCTCTTCCTCCTGTCCCCCCGTCCCCCCTTCCCCCCCCCCTCCTCCTCCTCCCCCTCCTCCTCCTCCTCCTCTTCTTCTTCTTCGTCTTCTTTCTTATTCTTCTTATGTTTGTTATTCTCATCATTAGTATTCGCATTAGTATTATTATTCTTCTTACTATTATTCTTATTCTTCTCCTTATTATTATTATTATTATTAGTATCATTATTATTAGTAGTATTATTATTTTTTATTATTATTATTACTATTAGTAGTATTCTTCTTATTATTATTATCAGTATCGTTATTATTAAAAGGTATTATTATTATTGTTCTCATTTTTATTCTTATTAATATGATTCCTCGTCTTCTTATTATGTTATTATTATTCTTCTTCTTATTCTTCTTCGCCTTCTTCTTCTTCTTCCTCCTCCTCCTCCTCCTCCTCCTGCTCCTCCCGTCCCCCGTCCCCCCGTCCCCAGCCCCCCCGTCCCCCCTTCCCCCCCTCCTCCTCCTCCTCCTCCTCCTCCTCCTCCTCCTCCTCCTCCTCCTCCTCCTCCTCCTCCGCCGACTCCGACGACGACGACGACGACGACGCCGACGACGACGCCGACGACGCCGATGCCGACGGCCGCGGCTGCGGCGGCGCCCAGCAGGTCTCCGCCGGCTTCGAGCTGGTGGACGGCCGGTCGGTCTCGGAGGGCGCGCTGCTCGGCTGCTCCCCCGCGCGGGCGTGGGAGGCTCGCGCCCCCGCGGGCGGCCGGGGGGGTCAGGGAGAGAGCGAGGGGCAGGGCGAGCGAGGTGCGCTCTTCCTCCTCCTCCTCCTCCTCCTCCTCCTCCTCCTCCTGCTCCTGCTTCTCCTCGTCCTGCTCCTCCTGCTCCTCCTCCTCCTGCTCCTCCTCCTCCTCCTGCTCCTCCTGTTTTCCTCCTCCTCCTCCTCCTCCTCCTCCTCCTCCTCCTCCTCCTCCTGAGGAGAGGGGGAGGGAGCGGGGGGGGGGCAGGAGGGAGGCGGGAAGGGAGGGGATGGAGGGGAGGCGGGGGGGGGGGGTTGGAGAGGAGGGAGGAGGGGCGGGAGAGGAGGTGCGATGAATGGGGGGGAGGGCGGGAGCCAGGGGGAGGGACGGAGGGAAGGGAGGGCAGGGGGAGGGGAGGGGGGAGGGTTTGTAAAGAAACGAGCTCCATCGACCCTGAGTCGCCCATTCATCCCCGATCGGGGCTTGGCCGCCGCACTCTGCCCAAGGAGCGCTCGGTTTCGCTATAGGCGACGCACCGCCGATGCCAGGCGGCTGTTTCCATCCTTCCTGGCTCCCCTCGGGAAGAGGGGCTGATCCCCCACCCTCCTGCCACAGGTTCTTGGGACGCTCGGGCATGGTGCATGGGACGGCGGTCTGGGCAGTGGGCGCGGACGTCGGCCACTCTCGTGCAGCTCGCCCTGGCCAGCTCGGGCGAGGCGGCTCTCTCTCTCTCCGGCCAGCCGTCCGAGGCCAACCCCGGACCCCCATTGGTGCCAGGCCTCCTGGATGGGGTCCGAGTAGATGCGGTCGGAGGATCGCGCCGCATCGCCGATGCATCGCCGATGCATCGCCGATGCGGCTCGATGTGGGTCCCGATTGGCTTCACGTCGACGTCGCCGATGCATCGCCGACGTCGCCGATGATGCGTCGCCGGAGCATCGCCGATGCATCGCCGGAGCATCGTCGATGTATCGGCGATGCGGCGCGATCCTCCGACCCCATCTGCTCGGACCCCAACTAGGCGGCCTCTGCTGGTGCGGGCCCGTTCCGTTACTGGCCGAAGCGCGGAGGCGCTCCCACGACCAACCACCCGAGACGCAGCGCCCCCCAGACTCGGGCCAGACGAAAGGGGGGGATTGGGAAAGGGGGGGGTACGAAATTTGTTGCGTGCAGCTGGTTTCGGCCTCGCCGAGGGGCCCATTCCTCGATACATGGCCGCCTCCGGCGCCGGGAGGCGCCGGGAAAATCAGCCACGTGAGCTGATTCTCACCCCCTCCCTCTGCTATCCCCCCCTTTCGCCCGACCCGACAGACACGACGTCTTGATTTTTTCAGGATGGCGTCCTCGGATGTCCAGACCCTTTCGGCGGGGCCCGTTTCTCGTCCCGACTCGTCTTTTTGGCGGCCCCGAGGCCCAGCGAGGGCGCCCCGAGGCCGCCCTTGGCCCAAAAGCCTCTCGTCCCGATTTTTTGTGAAACGACGCGACCTTGTCTGGGCCCAGCGCTCCCCGCGGACCCCGAGTCACCCCGGAGAGGCCACCCCCGCACCGCCGGGCACCCCGGGCGGGGCCGTTGGCCCAGGGTGCCAACGCGGCGCGTGGAGTGGCCAGCGCAGGCCGCGGCGTCGCGCCGACGCCGATGCCGACGCCGACGCCGATGCCGACGCCGACGCCGACGACGACGACGACGATGACGACGACGACGAATGGCGACGCCGACGACGATGAACGGCGAACGGCGAACGGCGACGACGCCGACGACGGCGAACACGAACACGAACACGACGCCGACGCCGACGCCGACGACGACGAACAGCGAACGGCGAACGGCGAACGGCGAACAGCGAACAGCGAACGGCGAACGGCGGCCAAAGGCGGCGAACGGCGGCCAACGGCGGCGGCAGCGGCGGCGGCCCGGCGGGCGTGTCTCCGAGAGCGCAGGATGGCCCGCGGCACGCGCTGTCCTGGCAGCAGGCCCTGCCGTCTTCGTCGTCGTCGGGTGGGGTTAGGAAGAGGAGGGAAGGAGGGAAGGGTGAGGAAGGAAGGGAGGAAGGAGAGGAAGAGGGTGGGGGAGGAAGAGGAGGGAAGGAGGGAAGAGTGAGGAAGGAAGGGAGGAGGAAGAGGAAGAGGGCGGGGGAGGAAGAGGGAAGGAGGGGGGGAGGCGGATCGAAGAAGAAAGACCGCCATAAGCATAAACTTTCGCTCCGTGCGGATTTTTTGGATCCTCGCTGGGCCCCCACGGCGGCGC